AGCTTCTCCTTCCCTCGAGGGGGCAGAGATTTTTTGCTCCGCCCCACCCCAGAAGGCTCCTGCCTTCTTACCCCATCTATCTGCTCAGGACCCTGGCTTGTCTGGCCGTTTGCTGGGCCAGCCCAGATCCAAGGGCTCAGGGAGAACCACTCATGCAACCGTAACTTTATTGAAAATTCAAGAGGTTTAAAAACAGCATTAAAAACCCAGCCTGGCCAGTGGTGCTCTGGCAGCTGAGGGGGAGATCCTCCATCCGTCCGTCCGGGTGGCTTCGCTCCTGGCCGGCTGTCCATCTCGAGACTCGCTCCCTCCGTGGTCCAGGCGATGCTTCCTTCCGGCCGGACGTCCTGCTTGGCCCTTACTCGCCGTGGGGGCCGGCCCCCGCCTTCGGAGCCTTGCCTTTGGCAGCCCCCTTCTTGACCTGCGTCTTGGGGGCCCGTCCGGCTTTGCCCGGGGCTTCCTTCTCTTTGGCCCCGGTTTTCTTCGCCTCCGGCTTGACGGCTCCGGCCGGCTTGCTGCCGGCTTTGGCTGGCTTGGCCGTGGCCCCCCTGGCCTTCCCTCCGGCATCCGCCTTTGGCTTGCCAGGCTCTCCTCCCTTGGCCGCCTCCCGGGCGGTGGCCTCGGCCCCTGCCTTGGGGGCCCCTTTGGCTCGGGATCCCTTGGGGTTCTCAGCGGCTTCTCCCCCGGCTAGGGCGCCTGGCAGCTTCACCTGCAAGGAGACAGAGGGCGACATGGCTACCTGGCGGCACATATTCTAGGCGCTGGCACAAATGAGTTCGCGCAGACCCATCACGAGCAGCACCACCACCGCCCTGAGGCTGGCGGGCTTCCTGCCACCGTCCCGAAACTTCAGGATTAGACCCAAAGGGCTGCAGGGTTGGGAGGAGAGGCTGCGGGAATATATTTCAACCGCCCCTTCGCTTCCCTTCCCTGACTGGCTCCATCGCTCTGGAATAGCCACCCCGGGGGGACGGGGACTTACTTTTCCCGCCTCCGCCTTCGGTCCCTCGCTCGCTGGCTTCTTTTTCTCCCCCTCGACACCGGCTGGAAGAGGAAGACGAGGAGGTTGAGGGAGGCTGCTCTGGCGGGAGGTGTCGTTCGGGGCTGGAAGAGGGAACCCCCATGGCCTTGCCGGCTTTGGAGTGCCCGCTTTGGTTTGGGGGTGTCCCAGACACACAACTTTTTATTAAGAGGCTGCAAAGCATCTCTCCCGAGGCCGAGTGGGTAGCTGGAAGAGATTTCAAGGGGGAAACCCCGTGGGCTTCCTTTGTGCCCGGAACTTCTCTGATGTGGACTTTGGCTCCTGGCCCCCATCGGGCACCCCGAAACGCCAGCCCTTACCTCGGCTCCTCGCGTTTTTCTCCACCGTCAGCTTGGCTTTAGGCTTCTTCACTTTCTCGGCTAATGCCTTGGCTTTAGGCTTCTTCTTGTCGTCCTCCGCTGCCGGCTTCTTTTTCTTTTTCTTCTTCTCCGGCTTGGGCCCGGCTTCTCCTTCCCCTTTCTCTTTTCCCTTCCCTGGCTTGGGTTTGTCTTCCACCAGCTGGAGGGGGGAGCCAAGAAGAAACCAGGAAAGGGGTTAAGTTTTGGTAACTAACAGACAACCGGCTTCAGAAGATGCTTTCTGCCTTTTAACAGATTTTTTTTCTCTCTCCCCCTGGAGGGGGAAAAAGAATCAGAAGTGGAAAATCATGGGAGCCACAGACAGGGGCTTCATCAAACGCCTGGATCCGCATTTTGGATTGGACCCTAAATGCCTCCTCTGAAGCCCCAGAGATGCAGGGCCATTTTCCACCACAGGGGCCCGAGAAGCGGTTCCCCCTCGCCGCTTTGCTGTGAATCCTCAGCATGGATCCCACGTAGAGGTTTTGCTCAGGTGTCGAGGGGTACAGGTTTTTCTGACCGCCCTCTAAAAGTTCTGCTCACAAGTCCCAAAGATTGGCAGCAGGTGAAGTGGGGAGAGTCAGAAAAACCCAAAGAGGGCCACGGAGCAGCATCACAACCACTTACATCTGCAAGAGTGGGCCAGGCCAGCCCCGGGGGCACAGAGGTGCCACCTCTGAACACATACACACCCACGCACACCCCGTACCTTGAATCTCCCGGTGGCCCCCTGGGCGGAGGAGTTGGGAGGCCGGATCAGCTGGCCCTTCTCGAGCCCTTTCGCCAAGGCCCCCTTCAGGTAGTACTTGAGCCGAATGGGGTCCACGCTGGGGTAGGTGTGGAGGATATACCGCTTGATGGCCACGGCCGAGACCCCCTTCCGCTCGTTGAGGGCCTTGACGGCCTCCAGCACCATGGTCAGCGTGGGTGGGGAACGCGCCTTTGGCGGCCGGGCCCTGGCGGGGGGACCAGGAGCAACGGCCGCCGCCTTTTCTGGAAAGAGAAGAGGGAAGGCGCTGACAGCAGGGTGGCCACCTCTCAAAGAGGACGAGGCCCCTATGCTCAAGCAAACGCCTTAAAGACGCAGGAGCCCTGGCCTCTTTTGCATAGGGTCACTCAACACGCAGCTGGTGCACCAGACCCCTTCGGTTAATCATGCTTCTCCCAAAATGCATCAGCCCCACCACCTTCAAGTAAACGTTGATGCTTTTGGATGCACTTCTTTTGCTGCAAACGCACGCCAGTGTGTGGCTGCATGCACGCCGCCTGTTTTTATGTCCGTAGCTCCAGCTGGGCAGCCAAGATAAAAAGCCCAGCCCAGCCGGAGGACCCCCACCGGCCGAGAGCCGGTGGCCCAAAGGACTCCTGGTTTGGAATGTTTGCTTTTACATTTTCAAGGCCACCCTCAAGACCTGAGACTACCCTGGCTACACCGGTGTAAAAACACAAGCCGTCGGATAGCCCAGCGAGGGTGGTGGCAGACTTGGGTCCTTCCTAAAAGCAAGATAAACCCAGCCAAGCCAGCCGCTGGTTGGGAAAAAAGCCGGCAGGTTTAAACCTTTGAAATTTGGTGGTGGTGGTGGGGAAGCTGGACATGGGTGGGGAACCCGAACAGCCCTCCTGCCTCCCCTCCAAGCCAGAAGGGGGTCCCTCCGTGGGGTCCCCAGCCCCACCCGTCCCTGGCACTATGGATACCAGATTGTGGGGGGAAGCTAAACACAGTCATCTTTGCTAAAGAGTTACCTGGTGGAGGAGCCTCCATCTTTGAAGGGGGGGAGGGACCAGGAGGGAGGGAGGGAGCCTGTGGGAGGCAGGCCCTTTTAAAGGCAGCCACCTCCCCTCTGGACCAGGGGCTCTGATCCTCAGCTTACTTGCCCGGAGGGTTTCAAGCGGGTGCTTTGACCTGCAGAATCAGCCAGACTGGCTCAGAGCTTTTTGGGATTTGTGAGCAGAACTTGGAGGGTGGCCAGGCAAGGCTGGCGAGAGGTAGGTTCCCCCCCCCCACTGACCCCTTTAACGCTCCTGGGGGGGGCAATGAAGCCAGGGGGGAGGCCTGTCTGGCCCCACCCGTCTTAAAGGCACAGGAGCCTCCCCGACCTTGTTTTTGCCCGGCACTGTCCCCCTTCTCCCAAAACAGAGAGGTTTCTTTTGAAGGTGCAGAAGAAGGCTTGCCCTTGCCCTGACCAGCTGGTTCACCTCTCCCCTCTCTTTCCCAGCCTTCCTGGAGTGGCCGGACCCTGAGCTGATGGCCCGCCATGTCGGCCACTAACAACATCGCTCAGGCCCGGAAGCTGGTGGAGCAGCTCAGGATCGAGGCCGGGATCGAGAGGATAAAGGTGAGGGAGGGGCCGAGAGATGCCTGGCGGTCTGGTGGAGGACCTCTTTGGAGAGGGCTGGAGAGGGCTTTTGGTGCCTCTGCAGGATCTCAAAATCCACCCCTTGGAAAAGCCTGTGGCGGGTTGTGGGGGGTCACCTGGAAAGGGGTACAGAGAGGAGGGCCCGGGAAGGTGAACCAAAGGGTCCTGAGGCTTCGATTTGGGGTGTGGTGGGGAAAGGTGGGCGAATGGGATGTTAAGAAAGACACGCCAAGGATGTGTGTGACAGTGTGCCAGAGGGGGTGGGAGAGGGTGGGAGGGAAGAGGGGGGAGGTCTTCAACCCAGGCTGCCCTGAAGACGGTGGGATGGCTTGCCACCACACGGGACAGCCCCAAACTTAAAGGCGCTTGAGTCAGCCGAGGGGCACCGGAGGAGATCCGGCTCTCTGGAGACCGGGGGCGGTTGGTTTTTTCCTTGGGCGAGAGAGTCTAGGGGTGGTCAAGAATTTGGGCCACTCTCTGTGCAGAACAAGCCTCTTCCCCCCCACCCCTGTCGCCAATAGCAGAGGATGTGCTTTTCCTAAGAAGGAGGAGACTGCTGCCTTGAAAGCGTCTCGGTCCGGCTCATTTTGGTCTGTAATTTGCCAAGGGTTGTGCCCCCCCTCCACCCCTCCTGGCCCCTCTGGGTTTCCAAGCCAGCTCAGTTCCCAGAACGGACCTGAGAGCCGAAATATAAACCGCAAGCCCAAAATAGCTCCTCCGCGGGCCGTTCTGATGTGGCTTCTGGGGCTCCCGTTTTTAGCTGAGGTTGCCCAGGCTTTGGAGCCAGGACACCCGGCAGGCATGGAGAAGGAACCCCCCCTAGAGGGCTCCGAGGGAGCGAAGGCGGGCCCGCCGGCATCTCCGGGAGGCTTCACGGCTCCCCCTTCCTCCCTTCTTGGGGCTCTCCTCCCTGGGGACCAGGCTGGCACTGGGCTTGGTCTTCAGGAAATGGTGGTGGGGGGGCTGCTTCTCCCGGCTGACTTCTTTCTGCTCCTTCTTGCTTCAGGTCTCGAAGGCCTCCTCGGAGCTCATGAATTACTGCGAGCAGCAGGCCAGGAACGACCCTCTGCTGGTGGGGGTCCCGGCCTCCGAGAACCCCTTCAAGGACAAAAAACCATGCACCATCCTATAGCCCGGCTCTCCGCCACCGCGACTACGTCTCTCTGTTTCTCTCTCTCTCTCTCTCTGTTGTGTCTCTCAGGTGGGGGGGCCTCAGCTGCGTCCCGTGC